AGAAAGTGTCTGTGGATGCTGACCCTGGCTCTCCTCCTGGGTTGAAGATTCACCCTCCTCAAGGGTCTGTGGAGATTGAGCTGGAGCTTCCTCCTCGGGTGGAGACGGTTCTCCCTCCTCAAGGGTCTGTGGAAGCTGAGCTGGGACCTCCTCCTGGGGTGGAGATGGTTCATCCTCTTCCTGGGTCTCTAGAAGTTGAGCTGGGGCCTCCTTCTGGGTTGAGGATGGCTCACCCTCCTCAGGGGCCTGTGATTGCTGAGCCAGGGCCTCCTGCTGTGTTAGAGGTTTCTCCTGTGTGGTAGATTCTGGAGACTGTGTTGGAGTCTCCTGTTGAACTGGCAAAGATTCAACCTCCTCAGGGGACTGTGGAGGCAGAGTTGGGGCTTCGTGCTGGGTTTCCAAAGGTTCCACATTAAGAGGCACTGAAGGCTGAGCTGGAGCCTTGGGTTGAACTGGAGAACGTCCCACCTCTGTAGTGAGTGCTGCTGTTACGGTAAGCTGCACATCTGAAGGTTTCACACTGACATTGAGGTTTAAATGTTGAACATGGTAGTGACCTGGAGGTGAAACTGTCACCTCACGATGCTGTGGAGGTTGAGCTGGGTGCCTCTGCTGGGTTGGTGAAGGTTCCACCTCCCCTGAAGGCAGCTCTGGAAGCTGAGCTAGTTGCTCTTGCAGGGTTGCAGAAGATTCTATCTCCCCTGGAGACTCAGCTGGAGTCTCCTGCTGGGTTGAAGATTCTGTCTCACTAGGGAGCTCTGCATGCTGAGCTGAGGCCTCCTCCTGGGTTGGAGAAGGTTCAGCTTCTCCAAAAGGGCCTGGAACCTGAGCGGAGGGTTCCTGCTGGGTTGCAGATTTTGCCACCTCAGGATGCTCCGTAGGCTGAGCTGGGGTCTGCTGCTGGGCTGGGGAATGTTCTGCCTCTTCAGGATTCTCTGGGGGCTGAGCTGGGGTTTCCTGCTCCAGTAGAGAAGGATCAATCACCCCAGGGGGCTCGGAAGGCTGACCTGGGGTCTCCTGCTGGGTTAGAGAAGGTTCAATCACCCCAGGAGGATCAGCAGGCTGAGCTGGGGTCTCCTGCTCACTTGAAGGCTCAACTTCCTTTGGAGGCTTACCCGAGGTCTCTTGCTGGGTTAGAGCAGGTTCTGCTTCCTCATTATGCCCAAGAACCTGAGGTGGGGCCTCTTGCTGGACTGGGGTCAGTCCAGCCTCTTCAAGGCGCTCCTGCATCTTGAGGATGCGCCTGGGTCTCCTGCTGGACTAGGGTCGTTCTGGCCTCCTGAGGGCGCTCTGGAGGATGAGCCTGGGCCTCCTGCTGGACTGGGGTCAGTTCGGCCTCCTCAGGGTGCTCCTCAAGCTGAGCCTGGGCCTCCTGTGGGGCTAGGGTTAGTTCTGCCTCCTTAGGGCGCTCTGGAGGATGAGTTAGATTTATGGTTAGATCGAGAGGTTTAACAGTGACATTGGGTAAGCTTGGTTTCTGAATTTCATTCTGACTTGGAGATGGCACATTTCCTTCATGATGTGCTACCAGTTGAGAAGCGATCTCCTTAGATGGCTCTGGAGGCTGAGCAGGGGCCTCCTGCGGGGTGCGAGAAGGTTCTACTTCCTCAGAGGTCTCTGT